GCTCTATACGCCTCCTCCTGCTCCAGAGGGATTCTGGGAGAGTGACAAGATTCAAGATAGATTAATCAAAGTGTGCCATTAATAATCCTATCCCCATACAACATTGATCAGTCCCACCACCTAGCCTGGAATATCAATCGCTTGATCTAAAGCTTACACATCTGAGCAGATCCTCTGTGTGTGGAAAGATATGTGGAAAACTAGAATCATCCCAAGTAAGCAAATACTTCTTTAAATAGTCGTGGTGCAAGTGCTTCTTTGACCCTGGCTTTGATTTGTACCAGATTCAAAACATTTTAATGGTCTCACTTGCTCTTACAGCGATTTGATTCAACCAGTCCCATGGCCAGCAACACTGGCACCCATAGCTGTCCGTACAAGTGTAGGTGAGAGTTTGGCAAGACCGGTCACTGTTTACAAAAGGCATGCATAGATTAAACCTGCTAAAACCAGAAGAAATAGTGTTTTTCTCCCTAGACAAATGGATTATTTGCTGATAAGCTATAAGTTATATATGGAGAAAGAATGATACTGTGATTTTTTTAATGTCTAGTTACTTCTTTTTATGTTGGTGGTGAGACTGGTTGGGCATCAGAAATATTTTTCTAATTTACAGACAGTATCCCAACAAACCAGGCTGGAAGTGTTGCTTTTGATCAGATGGAGGCGTATCTTAGTAACACAGCTTCCCTCTCACAGATCTGAGAGGAAACAACACCCCAGACACCCAGAGTGCACAGGAGGTCATGCTATGGCTATAGGAAAATCAGTGAAACACCGACTTATGAAGCTAACAGTCAATGTGCTGTCTTCAGTGTGTCACTGTATGAGAACCCGAGCTGCTGGTTTATTTTCTTAGCAAGTACAATACTGTTAGCATCAGCAGTATGGTCCCATTTGCTGCTGTTACTCACATCAACCACTGGGGGTCAGTATTGCCACATAAAAAAAGGGGGGCACTTGCCGCGGTCTAGTCAAGGTTAAGACAAAGCAGTCATCTGTTCAAGGTGCTTTAAACAATCCTTCAGCAATGCTCTGGTACATGTCCAGTTATATCTAAATATTAATTAACATCTACAGTTTGTGTTACCATCGCTGTGTCCAATTAGAGAAAGCTACCATAGATAATATTTCAATGTCACAAATATGTCAAAAGCTAAAATAAGCCCATGAATTCAGCCTTGAGCGTTTAAGATGCTGTTTTGAGAGGTTTGTTATAGAAATGGGAGTAATAAGCCAAGCAATCACCCAGTCAGCCCTGCTCACTTCTCTATCACCCCATTACTGCTCCTCTCAGCTCTGATTATTCAACTCAAGTCTAATCCAATCAAAACAGCAGCTGTAGGCTCTGGAGTAAGAGACGGATTCATTTATGAAGTCAGAAATGACAGGAGACTGAGGCTGTAGAAATCCGGTCTTAAAGGTGAAACTGGTTCTTTCTTGGCCCAAATAGCAAAAGAACTGTTAAGAGGGTTGAAAACAATCTCTCCTGCAATGGAGAAATAAAATGGAAATCATGTTACAAACAAAAGAATAGAATAATTTGAGCTTGGCTGGTAATGACACCATGATTATTGGTGTCTTATTTTGGTCTGCGCTTTTGAAGATTTCCTTTTGAAGGTATCCTAATAGTGAGGTTTCTGCTGCTGCAGTAAATGGGGCATCTAGACTACAGTACACTAACCCCAGGCAAGGACGAACCAGAGGAGGGAGTGGGGCATTGCTCAACTTACTTTCTCAAGAATCATAGCAGAGGAGATGAATCAGACTCAGCTCAAGTGGTATCTGCTGTACAAATCCTATTACTGTCAGCCAGACTGAGGCGATGGCTTGGCTGCAAAGCTGTTTGTACTGGCACCTTATTTTTAAGCCTCTTTTAGCCTCTCTCTTTGCTGAAGAACTGTTTGGCAAAGTGTCACTTATGTTGAAATGTTTAACAAACTCCAAAAACCTTTGAGAATGGAAAAGTAAAGAACAGCTAGCTTGAAGCAAAATGAGTTCTTCCAGCTTTCATAGGGCTTGTTGGGCTTGAATACATACAAGTCCTCATGTCCAACCCTGACAGTTTTCAATGAATGGACCGCTTGCCAAAATTACTTGGTGGACCACAGCAAGCGTTCAGTGAGTGTATGCTCATGGTTTACAACAACCCAACCCCTCCTTTCTACATTTGAAGGTACAGTGTGTCAAGATATCAGCAGAGAAAATACATAGTAGTACAGTCCATGGGTTCTGATATGAAGAGAGTGATCCCAGAGTGGCACTGTGCAGAACAGGAAAGTTCCAGAAATGGGTAGGGTGCAAGATGAGAACCAATTTTTTTTTGTTTATGAGAACCTGGGTCACCCCTTTCATCATTTGTCTCCATCCATACAATCACGACTTCATGTTCCATGGCATCAACAAGGTGCAACGAATCATAACACAACGACACTGACCACATAGAATAGGTGTCTACTACCACACAACCATATTCCAGCCTAATACTGTGAACAGGGACAACGACAACTGAAAATGTTAGGACAGGGAACGAGAAAGGGGCGAAGGATGGTACAGAGAGGGAGAAGGAGAAGAAGATAAAAAAATGAAACACACCCTCATCTACTCTTACATTTGTGATTGATGTTTACACAATAACACCATCGACAATCACTACAGACATTCTTACTGTCTTCTAAACCTATCCACTGATAAATACCGGGGAATGGAAACACAAAAAGGGTCAGTTCAGGGATTCAAGTGTCCATGAAGGCAATGTACTGTTCTCAACACTATGCAAGCCAAAATGGTGGCTGACACTGTTAAAGACGGTGTAAAAACCAGGGCAATTTGTTCTCTATTCTCATTCGCCCCCATGAATCTTTAACAGCTGTTCAGTTATTCATCCTGACACAGAAGCTGGGGTTTCATCATCCCTCATAAGGGACAAAAATGGAGTTTGTCACTTTAATTTTGTATGAGTTTTGAGAGTTTGAGATTCTCATACCTGAGGCAAATTATTTCCAAACCATGAACTTGTCTTGGTTCCTAATGTTTTTATTGTATGACCCCACAAAATGAAGCAATGTCTACTTGCAATTAGGGAAATGTTGCATATGCAAAGTTTCTTTCTAACCAAACTAGGGTTATATGGCCATTAATATTACTGAGATGATGTTTTGTAATATACTGTGTGTTCTTGCCAAATGTAAATTATAATCTTTCCATGTTACATCGCTAGCATTATGATAAAGTGCCGGGTAAGGTCTGGTTTCTTTCATTCTTCAGTCTTAACAAGCAATTTGTTAACAAGCTCTATTTGCTATTTGTCAATTCTTTGTGAAGTTTGTGTTTAAAGTCTAAAGGTCTTAATGACTACCTCATGGACTTAACACAAGTATTGTGTAAAAGTATATGTCCTGATCCATGTGCTAGCACAAACTGGAATGATTAAGGTCCTTCAAGCCCCTGGGCTCCACTATCTCCCAGGACTTGAGGAGGACGTCCAACATCAGGACCATCATCAAGAAGACACAGCAGAGGATGTACTAGCTCAGGAAGTTCAACCTGCTCCAGGATCTGCTGATACAGTTCTACAGAGGAATCACTGAGTCTGTTTTCTGCTCTTCGATCACTGTCTGGTTTGGCTCAGCAACCAAAGAGGACAAGAACAGACTCCAGCGAACAGTCTGAGCTGCAGAATTAATCATTAGTGCCAGCCTGTCCTCCATGGAGGACCTGTACAAAAGGAGGGCAGAGAAGATTTCTGCAGGCCCCTCACATCCTGGACACAAACTGTTTGAACTCCTCCCCTCTGGACGGCGTTACAGGTCACTGTGCGCCAAGACAACCAGACACGAGAACAGTTTCTTCCCCTGGGCCGTCACTCTGATGAACACCTAACCCATGTTTATATGTATAACAGATACGGCAAACGCCATAGTGCAATAACTTATAGGTGTACTTATGTACATAAAATAGCCCATTTTTAACTTGTATATATGTACATATTTAGAAATAGATGGCTGTCATCTTGCTTTTTACTCTTTCTGTTTGATTTGGTGCACATTGAAGGCCATTGCGCTAGAATCAAATTGCTTGTATTTTGACAGACTTGGCAATAAAGTTTATGATTGATTGATTGATTGATTATGTTAATATTGTTTAACACTTATTAGCATAATGTTTTGTAACTTCAGGAATATTTTTGGTGATTAAAATTAACATTATTACTATTAAACAGCATTTTGATGAAGAGCCTGATCAGGTATGCTGACCAAATTTCACTACCTGTCTTCACTTTGAACAGGTATAAATTTTTCTTATCCTGTTAACTATCCTATGACATCACCAATTTAGCTTGTAACCTTAGAAACCAATGCTTTAGATTGTGTCTCCTTTCTGCATCAAAACATGGTTCTGCCTGCTTTCAGTTGAATGGGCACTGTGTATGTAAACTTTATTAAGTGTTGAGATCAGAACAGACCCACATGGAGGACAAGGAGTCTAAAAACAGTAAACAGCCAAAAGGTCACGGAGAACAACAACTGAGGAAATTAAACTAGGGACAAACAAGTAGCAAGAGAACACGTCAAAGAAAGGTTTAGTCTTTTTTGTTTTGTTTTGTTTTTAAAGCCACACTACTACTCTCCACTATTATGATGCACATGGTGTGGGTAGGGTTAACACGACTTCATTTACATTTGAATCCTCGGTCTCCAGCCAGGGACCCCTCCCAAAGGAGGACCCAGTGGGGGTTTATGGGGGATGGGGCTGAGGTGGGGGGATGCACTGGGCTAGGGGGGCAGAGACATATGCACACGGACCGCCTCAGAGACAGAGAGAGAGAGCAGTCACGGCTGTGGTGCATTATCACGTTGTATATTAACCCCCCTGTTATGCTGCGGGTCAAATTGACCAACGAACATAACTGCTTTAAATGAGACAAATATTTGATATGAAGAAATGAACATAACAGGAGGGAACCCTCCTGTTATGTTCATTTCTCAGGTGATGCTTGCTCAGTAGTTATGTTCGTGGGTCAATTTGACCCGCAACATAACAGGAGGGTTAATGTGTATCTGTGATTGTGATCAATCCAAAAAACCTTGATGTTGCTTTAGTGTGATCATGTGTGTGTGTGTGTGTGTGTGTGTGTGTGTGTGTTCTGGGTTGCAACTTTAGGCAAGCCCAGCGACAGCAGATGGTCTTCTGATCATCACAACAGCTTGTAAGATGGCAGTGGCAATAATTATTATTATATAACTGAATCATGCACACACTATTGTATAAAAAACAACCTACACATACTATGGCTTTGTTAATATTCTCACAAATTTACATAACATCTCAGAGATTTGTACATTTACATCTCAGAGAATGACTTTCAGCTTTATGGCTCTACATACAGTATTGCTGGAATGTTTGTATTCTAACAGAGTAAATATGTGTGGCTAGGATCACTCTGTGTTTCACTTTTCCTGAGAAAAGGTGCCATACATGTGTTGCTATTTGTGTTTTCCACTACTAGGATGAGTGTGGATGTGTTTATTTGACTGCCTCTATAGTGCCACTGTGTGTCCTCTGTCTGCCTCTGAGTATGACCCAACTCTCCAGGCTGCTCCCCCCTGGCAGCCCCGGGTAGGTCAGGTGACCACCAACACACCAAAAAGCGGGGATGGATGGGCAGAGGCCAACACGTCATCCTGCTCCTGTTGATGAAAGAGCATGAACGGGGCTTCTGATGTAGCAGAGAGGAAGCAGAGGTCACAGGGACTTCATTGTTCCCTCCCCTTCTACCCAGCAACCCTCGAGTGGTGACCGCCCTGATCTCCCAGCTTTCTATTGTGTTGGTTGTTGTGGTTACCATGGCAGCCCGTGTCTGGTAGGCTTAACTCCATAGCCAAACCCTCTGAGCCACGGGCAGTCACAGCAGCTCATGGCCAGTGTGCTCATCCCAAACTCACACAGTTAATGGTGTTGTAAAATCCCACAAAGAAGAAAAGGCCAAGTCTTTTTTCTTTTTCTGCATGATCCAAATCCATTGCTTCTTACTAGACATTATTATCAGATTATATTCTACATCCATTAAGGTTTTGGCCTTTAAAACAAATGACATGACCCTGTATAATCCTCCTCACTGTTCAGCTGTGGTAAGAATAGTAAAGATTGCTGTTAGATGTTCTGTAGACTATGGAAACATATTTGGTTTGTTTTTCTTTCACAACCATTGGTTTTATTCAGTGGCATAAATTTACAACTTAAGCCTCAACTGCAAAGCTACAGTACATGCATGGCTCTTACTGTAATAAGGCAGTTCTTAGAAGAGTATACTGTAGCTACAAACTCTATAAATGGATGGCTACCAGTTCTCCATGCATTACATTTCTCTTCAAGTCCCTGACTGCACAGAATACATTAAAGGGGAAGTTTAATGAAAAAGAAAATCATTTTTTCATTAATGTAACTGAGACACAGGACTACAGTACCCCACAGCTCAGTAATCATGCCAATTCACAATGTATTTCCTATAATTCTTACAGCTGTTATTCTTATCAAGCATGGATGACAAGTTGCTCTTTCAAATCTATCAATACTATAGCGCCTTACAGTATCATTCAAGCATGTTTTTCACCACAAGCTGAAGAGAATCACTGAGAAGAGAGATCAGGGTCATTTTGTTTTCATTCTCAAATCAAACCAAATCAAGTTATGGCTCCAGTTTTGATCTAGATGCTCAATTTTGAATAGAGCCATAGACTTATTTCAACTGTGCTTTCAAACTTCTTTGTGAGTCAGTGGCTGTGTGTGTTTGTGTGTGTCAAACACGTTTATGGGACGTGCTCATGCCTCCCCCAAGGGACCCCTGGCTGCGTTGTTTCATATCATTTTCATGTTGAACTTCCTGGTCCCTCCCGAGGAGCTGCCAGTAGTGGGTTCAGATTTCCTGAAAGAGTACTCTACTGTGAAGTTGTTCCTGCGCTGGCCACGTCCCCGGCTCCACACGAACAACAGCAGGAAGCAGAAGAGGACCACCCCCAGGAAGGTGATGCAGCCCATTGCTGTGGAGACCAAGATGGTGGTCAGGTCCAAGGTGAACTTGAGGAAAACACGTGTGCTGTTCATATTTGTGTCGTTGAAGAACTCGCCGCTGTACAAGGAACGGTTGAGAAAGAAGGCTGAGGCGGCGTCTAGCGGCTGGCCCCGCACTGTGAGTGTGGCGAAATAGGTGTCATTGCCTCCAGCGTTACTGGCGATGCAGATGTATGTTCCGCTGTCAGTAAGCTGGGTGTAACGGATCTCCAGGGTGCCACTAGGGAGAACCGTAATGCGCCCTGAACTCTTAGTTGTGATCCGTCTGCGCTGTGGTGAAATCCAGACAATAACAGGTGCAGGTTCTCCTTCAGCTCGACACAGGAAGCTCACTGGCTGGCCTTCACGAGCAACCACCTGTGGAGGGGTGGATGAAAGGAGCACATGGACTAATAAATGCAGGAGTTTTAGAAAACAGCACAATATAAACAGCAAAAACTGGCAATATTACAGAAGGCTTTTGTGTTTGTAGAAGTTATTAGCAAGGGAATCAATCCGTTACTATCCATTAATTCTTTGCTAAGAATTAAATCCAAATGTAAATGGCTTCATTACCTGCTGCAGCTTACGGTTGCGTATCTTAGGTTTCTGGCATGTAAAGTGATCAAAGAGTGCAGAGTCGGTGAAGGTGCTCAGGCTGACTCCTTGCACCTCAACCGGCCCCGCACACACTGGCACTCTGCCGTCAAAGTTGAGGGTCTTGCGTCTTTGCAGGATCCACAACAGACGGCAGTCGCACATCAAGGGGTTCCCATCCACTCTGAGGGTCTCTAGGCTGTTGACAGAGTGGAAGGAGCCCTCTTCCAGAGTCTGCAGGTCATTAGAGGAGAAGTTGAGCACCCGGATCTGTCGGAGGCCTCCAAGGGCATGGGGCTCCACTGTCATCAAACCTGTGCTTACCATGATGAGCTCCTTCAGTCTCAGTAGGTCTTTGAAGGCCCAGGGCTCTAGTGTGGTTATGGGATTGTAGGACAGGTTGAGATGGGTCAGGTGCACCAGGTTCTTGAAGGAGGCAGAAGGGACAGAGGTGATGTTGGTGTTGGTAATGGAAAGCCAGTGAAGGTCCAGGCCTTGAAAACTAAGAGGGGAGATGTACTCCAGGTACGGCCAGTGATCAATGTCCAGACCTCGCAAGTTGAAGAGCTTGCGAAAATTCTGGTCTTCTAGGGCAGTGATGCTGAGGTGACGAAGGCGCAGAGTGACCAGGCTACGGAGGTAGGATAGCGTCTGGCCAGAGATGGATGTCAGGTTGCAGTGCTCTATTGTGAGATCCTCCAGCCCCACCAGCCCTGAGAAAGCCTGGGAAATACACGGCACAGAGGATTTTAAAACCTAACATATATTTCCACTCACCCCAACCAGTCGAGGCAGAAAGCTGCCCACCAAGAACCGGGGTCTGTCGGAGGTTTCTTCCGTTAAAGGGAGATTTTCCTCCCTACTGTCGCCAAGTGCTTGCTCAAGGGGGATTTGTTGGGTTTTCCCTCTGTAATAACAATGATAATAGTAAGGTCTAGACCTTACTGTGTAAAGTGTCCTGAGATGACTTTTGTTGTGATGTGGTGCTATACAAATAAAATCTGATTTGATATATTTATTTTATATATCTTCAACAGAAACCAGGTGTATTCACACCTATCTGGTGACAAAAACTGAACGGTCAGTGAGCATTAATTAACAAGTGCATAGCTTGTATAACACATGAAACTGAAAAAAACATACATTATATATTTTACTTCTGTAAAAAAAAATCTAGAAGCTTGTGGTGCTGTGTGTTTCCAGTTAAAGCTTTATTTGGTTTTCCTTTATTTCTTGATAAACATGTCATGTTTGTTAAAGAAACTATTCAACATTTCAATAAAATCTAAGGCTGCAGGCAGCGGCCAGTTAGCTAGATTAGCACAAAGACTGAAAATAGACTTGAAACAAAACAGCTTGGCTCTGTCAGAAGGAATGAAAACCCTCCTATGAGTCTTGCTGACATCATGATGTTGCCAAGTCACTGCATCCAAACAAGAACTAGTGCTGCACATAACACCCCATAAAACCACAACTTGTCATTTTCACACTTCAGGTTTTCTATGAATGAAACAAATAAGTTATAATATGTTAATTAGTGACTTTTAAAGGTGCTCGTAGGTGGACTTTGTTCACTTTAGACAGAGCCAGTCTGTTTCCAGTCTTTGTGCTAAACAAAGCTAACTGCCTGATTATAACACAATATGTAGCAAACAAACATATTTCCCAAAAATGTTAATTATGTTTTGACATTACAAGTATTTCTGAGCTAAACCAGGCACTTCTGCAGACACTCTGGCTGCATTGTCATTATTGTGCATTAAAAAACACAGACCATGTTCTACTACTGTTAATATGAAAGTGTGATCCTCTGGGATCTAATTTGGAAGGAGGATTAAACACAGTCACAATAATGACAAGATGCTAGAGAGCTTACCTTGTGGGATATGTAAACTAGGTCATTGTCTCCCACCTCCAGATGTTTCAGACTCCTCAGATCCTGAAAGGTGTAGTCCAGTAAAATCACAATCTTGTTCTGGCTCAGGTCCAGTCTGGTCAGGTTGCCCAGCTTGGCGAAAGCCCCCATGGGCACTAACTTCAACTGGTTTCCTCTTAACTTCAGTACTTTAAGACTCTGGAGGGTGGCAAAGGCATTGGGCTCTAATGTGGAGATGAGGTTTTCACTAAGGTCCACTTCCTCCAGACGTGGATAAGGTGCCAGGTCACTCGTCTGCACCCAGCGGAGCCGGTTCTTGCTGAGGTCCAGGAGCTGTGTCTCCGTGGGGATGCCCTCTGGGATGTTGGTGAGCCGTCTCCGCTGGCACGACACTGACCTCAGCTGAGCTGAGCACTCGCACCGTGGTGGACAGGCCTGGCTACTTCCTGGCAGTGACAAGGTTATCATGGCAACCAGAGAAGCAGCCAGGACCCATCGCCACACCCTCAGCCATGGCACTAAGGCACGCCCACCAGAGCCAGGAGAGCCAATCATGGCCCTGGTCCTCTGACTCCTTGCCTGTTGTAGGCAGGGTCAGTGCACCATACACCTGCAAGATGAGACAGATGGAAGAGAGCGACAGGGTGGAAGCAAAGCAAAGAGAAATATGTCAAAATATTGAATAAAAACATGAAGAGGATCCGATAAACACAGATGGATACTGTCATTTATCATCACCCAGGCTCATAAAAATTATATCAATATGGCTGTAAATTATTTATGCATCCGGTAGTTTAAGTAATATTGCACTGAAAGCTGTGGAAATTTGAGACATGGCATTAAAATACAACTGACTAGACTTCATTACAGAAAAACTGTCCTAGTTAAGATATTTGAGATGATTTGTCTTTTCACTAATTCATCTATGGTTTCAGCTGGAGAACTGGGACACTGGGAACTTCTTGCTTCAGCTGAATTCATGCATGTTGCATCCCCTCTGCGCCCTTGCAGCACTGAAACTGTCTGCTCCATTTTGACAAACACGCTGAATTTATTATCACCGCGCGAAAACACAGACCGAGCTCCTCAACAATCATGTAACGCCTGGAAACCCCTCCTGTCGTGCCTATGAAATGCCAAGAAAAATCACTGTCATATTCTGTGCGTGATCAGGTGTATGTTGATGCATGTGTGCGTAGGACGTGGCATTTTGCTAAATTAAAAATCATTTTGGTCATCCTTGCATGAAGATGTGATGAATCACTCCTGCTTTAAAATTCCTTCAGACAACCTGTCAACTCTCCCACACACAGCTTTCAACTCAGAGACAGTCAGAGTACCTGGCATTAGATCTGGAAAACAACTCAGTGTTCCACCATTTAGCAGGAAGGGGCAGAAATACATGAGGAAAACGCTGCTTAATTAGAAAATGTGAGAAAAAGAAAGTCTCTGCTTTCCAACACAGACTCCAGATGTTAAACTCTTGACTGTTTGATTGGTTACTCATGTTTCAGATTAAGTGGAAATGAGATGTATGCATCATGATCACCAGGGAGTATCATGTTAAACTGCACTCTGATGCTGGCAGTAGAGGGAGGCAGCAAGCAGATTAATAATATATGGGCTGGTTTGTGCTTAATGGGCAGTGTTCAGAGGGTGAGTCACACAGTTAAAAGAGCCAAAAGTTGCCAGTTTCTCTTTCTCTCTGCTGCAGGTTTTGCCTCAAATCTCTTTCCAGTGAGTTGGATTTAAAAAAGAAGCTTCTTAAATACATAATCATATCTGACAGGGTCAATGTGTTGGCATCAGTAGGATCAAATAGGATGAAATGAGATTTAAGTTAAATTTAAATAATAGTAAACATAATTTCTTTGCACACATGAGTGACATATATTTCATACATGATAACAATCACACAAAATCTGGTAAAGCCCCAGAATCTGTGTCTCATCTAAAAAGCTTCAGGGTTAAATACATTCCACAACCTTCGACAGGCCAGGAAAGCACTTTGTTTACAGTTCTCATGTCTGAAGGATCTGGTTGAAATCTGGCACGATTTTGCCTCTGCTGGGAGACAAAATGCAGGCACAGAGAGGCTGCTGTGCAAACTGACCCAGTTCTCAGCAGCAACTTGGCCTCACACTGTCAACCAGCAACAACTCATCATGGCCACAACAACAAAGCAGCAAACCTCAGCATCTCTGTGGAACAGAGCCCAAGAGAGGAACAAGGAGATGCGGGAAACAAACAACAGATGAGTATATGGATATTCTGAAGTAACACGCTATTTATTTATCAAGCAAATTTAGCATCTGGGTCTCTGGGCCATCTGAATCACTTTTGTTGTAGGCATGGCTCTAGGACTGGCAATATTGGCCAGTCAGTGTGTCGGATGATCCCCCGCTTTAGTCCAGACTGAAATAACTTGACAACCATTTGATGTTTGCCTTAGAATTTTCTGTAGACATTCATGTCCGTCAGAGGATGAATCCTAATGACTTTTCCTGTAGTGCTACATTGAGGTCAACACTTATGAAGGTTTGTCATGAAAATTGGAACTGTTATTCCAGGTATAATTATTTCCTCATGTGCCACCAAAGAGTTGCCTGTTAGTTTTACCTGTTACTGTGTTAACAAATTAGATAAAACCATAGTTGGCAAAATGATGAATCCTTATAACTTTACTAGACGATTACCATGAAATTGTTATTGTTGTTGTTTTAATCTCTGACCATTAGATAGACAGTCATGGTCCACTGAGGATGCTTTGTAAAAACTTGTATCATCTTACATTTCATCCAGCACCAAAGTTGCTGTTCATCAGTAGTTTGGTTTATGACCAAATACCTGCAAACTACAGAGATTTGTACCTGCCTCAGCTCTAGTTTCTGTTAATTGCTAATTCACATATGTCAGTGTGCTACAATGATAAAATAAGTTGTTAAGAATATACTTGTTAAACATCAGCATGCTGGCATTATCATTGTGAGCATGTTAGCATGCTGACATTAGAGTGCAGCTCAAAGCACCGCTGTGCTTAGGCTGCTACCATGGCTACAAGATCTTGGTCTTATTTCCAGTGTATTGAGTCGATGTGTGTGTGTGTGTGTGTGTGTGTGTGTGTCAGTGCACATTTGCCCAGCTCTTAGGTAGTATGATAGATGTAACCTGTCTCCAAACCCTCCCGAGACTCATCCTACGGGTCAGTAGCAGAGTCGCAGTATGAATCAGTGAGTTGACATTGTTGAGGCAGACAAGGTCCTTACTGCTTGACTCAAGGACAGGCAGGTGTTGTACCCGGTACTTTTTACCATACGGACTCTGAGAGACGAGACAGTCCAAGTAACTACAAAACAGTGCTGATTTATTCCATGAACACAGGTAAAAATTAACATTACACGCTCAGGCATCTTGCACCTCCAAACTGCACGCAGGCAGATGTAAGATGAAAGACCCTGA